TGTTCTGCGTGCGCTATCTACTTTTCTCCAGTAAAACAGCACTCGTGATTCACCGTAGATTATCCAGGGCGCCGATTCTCGAATATTTATCGAATTCGACAAAATTTTCTCGCCATCGGTTTAAAATGGCGACCAAATTTTGCCGAAAGTGACGTTTATTCAAGATTCGCCTCCCTGTGTGTTCTGCGTGCGCTACCTACTTTTCTCCGGTCAAACACCACTCGTGATCCACCGTAGATTATCCAGGGCGCCGATTCTCGAATATTTATCGAATTCGACAAAATTTTCTCGCCATCGGTTTTCAAATGGTGACCAAATTTTGCCGAAAGTGACGTTTATTCAAGATTCGCCTCCCTGTGTATTCTGCGTGCGCTACCTACTTTTCTCCGGTCAAACACCACTCGTGATCCACCGTAGATTATCCAGGGCGCCGATTCTCGAATATTTATCGAATTCGACAAAATTTTCTCGCCATCGGTTTAAAATGGTGACCAAATTTTGCCGAAAGTGACGTTTATTCAAGATTCGCCTCCCTGTGTGTTCTGCGTGCGCTACCTACTTTTCTCCGGTCAAACACCACTCGTGATCCACCGTAGATTATCCAGGGCGCCGATTCTCGAATATTTATCGAATTCGACAAAATTTTCTCGCCATCGGTTTTAAAATGGTGACCAAATTTTGCCGAAAGTGACGTTTATTCAAGATTCGCCTCCCTGTGTATTCTGCGTGCGCTACCTACTTTTCTCCGGTCAAACACCACTCGTGATCCACCGTAGATTATCCAGGGCGCCGATTCTCGAATATTTATCGAATTCGACAAAATTTTCTCGCCATCGGATTAAAATGGTGACCAAATTTTGCCGAAAGTGACGTTTATTCAAGATTCGCCTCCCTGTGTGTTCTGCGTGCGCTACCTACTTTTCTCCCGTTAAACACCACTCGTGATCCACCGTAGATTATCCAGGGCGCCGATTCTCGAATATTTATCGAATTCGACAAAATTTTCTCGCCATCGGTTTAAAATGGTGACCAAATTTTGCCGAAAGTGACGTTTATTCAAGATTCGCCTCCCTGTGTGCTCTGCGTGCGCTACCTACTTTTCTCCGGTCAAACACCACTCGTGATCCACCGTAGATTATCCAGGGCGCCGATTCTCGAATATTTATCGAATTCGACAAAATTTTCTCGCCATCGGTTTAAAATGGTGACCAAATTTTGCCGAAAGTGACGTTTATTCAAGATTCGCCTCCCTGTGTGTTCTGCGTGCGCTACCTACTTTTCTCCGGTCAAACACCACTCGTGATCCACCGTAGATTATCCAGGGCGCCGATTCTCGAATATTTATCGAATTCGACAAAATTTTCTCGCCATCGGTTTAAAATGGTGACCAAATTTTGCCGAAAGTGACGTTTATTCAAGATTCGCCTCCCTGTGTGTTCTGCGTGCGCTACCTACTTTTCTCCGGTCAAACACCACTCGTGATCCACCGTAGATTATCCAGGGCGCCGATTCTCGAATATTTATCGAATTCGACAAAATTTTCTCGCCATCGGTTTAAAATGGTGACCAAATTTTGCCGAAAGTGACGTTTATTCAAGATTCGCCTCCCTGTGTGTTCTGCGTGCGCTACCTACTTTTCTCCCGTCAAACACCACTCGTGATCCACCGTAGATTATCCAGGGCGCCGATTCTCGAATATTTATCGAATTCGACAAAATTTTCTCGCCATCGGTTTAAAATGGTGACCAAATTTTGCCGAAAGTGACGTTTATTCAAGATTCGCCTCCCTGTGTGTTCTGCGTGCGCTACCTACTTTTCTCCGGTCAAACACCACTCGTGATCCACCGTAGATTATCCAGGGCGCCGATTCTCGAATATTTATCGAATTCGACAAAATTTTCTCGCCATCGGTTTAAAATGGTGACCAAATTTTGCCGAAAGTGACGTTTATTCAAGATTCGCCTCCCTGTGTGTTCTGCGTGCGCTACCTACTTTTCTCCGGTCAAACACCACTCGTGATCCACCGTAGATTATCCAGGGCGCCGATTCTCGAATATTTATCGAATTCGACAAAATTTTCTCGCCATCGGTTTTCAAATGGTGACCAAATTTTGCCGAAAGTGACGTTTATTCAAGATTCGCCTCCCTGTGTGTTCTGCGTGCGCTACCTACTTTTCTCCGGTCAAACACCACTCGTGATCCACCGTAGATTATCCAGGGCGCCGATTCTCGAATATTTATCGAATTCGACAAAATTTTCTCGCCATCGGTTTAAAATGGTGACCAAATTTTGCCGAAAGTGACGTTTATTCAAGATTCGCCTCCCTGTGTGCTCTGCGTGCGCTACCTACTTTTCTCCGGTCAAACACCACTCGTGATCCACCGTAGATTATCCAGGGCGCCGATTCTCGAATATTTATCGAATTCGACAAAATTTTCTCGCCATCGGTTTTCAAATGGTGACCAAATTTTGCCGAAAGTGACGTTTATTCAAGATTCGCCTCCCTGTGTGTTCTGCGTGCGCTACCTACTTTTCTCCGGTCAAACACCACTCGTGATCCACCGTAGATTATCCAGGGCGCCGATTCTCGAATATTTATCGAATTCGACAAAATTTTCTCGCCATCGGTTTAAAATGGCGACCAAATTTGCTCCCCAGTGCTACTCCGCTGAACCTGAACGCTACTACACCTGGTCCCCAAGAGCGGTTCAACCTCTGCTGAACGCCCTCACTTTCTCGTGCCCTCATTTTATCCCTGTGGACAGGGGAGTAAGAATACTTCCAAGGTTCTCGCGCCTGTCGTAAAAGGCGACTAAAGCGGCGTCGAGCCCGACGTAAAGTGGCCTTCTGACAGGTCACTTCTTCTTGAGACACACCTTCTGCGGCCCGCAATTAGCACCTAAGGCGCCGATTCTCGAATGTATATCGAATTTGACAAGATTTTGGTATAATATGGCGACAAAATCTTCGTCAAAAGCGACAAACATTCGAGAATCTGCCCCCCAGTGCTACTAGGCGGGCCGCAGTCGTAGGGGATCCCTTCGGGGTGAACCACTGAAGCCAAGGAACACCTGTCCCATGCACTTAGTGCATGGCATTTGCTATGACGTTAACTAATTGTGTTTAATCATCTTCTGCGGAGATTTTTAGCTTTTACAGCAGTACCGTTTGGCGTCAGACAGCTTCAGGCTCGAGATGAAGGCAAGCATCGGCGATGGATCTGCTCCTGCTGGCCCTCTGGAATCGCCTACGAGCCGAGAGAGAAGACTTCCTCGGTCGCAACTGACGCAAGTTTCTGACAGGTCACTTCTTCTTGAGACCGCTATAGGCCAAGGAACACCTGTCCCATGCACTTAGTGCATGGCATTTGCTATGACGTTAACCAATTATGTTTAATCATCTTCTGCGGAGATTTTTAGCTTTTACAGCAGTACCGTTTGGCGTCAGACAGCTTCAGGCTCGAGATGAAGGCAAGCATCGGCGATGGATCTGCTCCTGCTGGCCCTCTGGAATCGCCTACGAGCCGAGAGAGAAGACTTCCTCGGTCGCAACTGACGCAAGTTTCTGACAGGTCACTTCTTCTTGAGACCGCTATAGGCCAAGGAACACCTGTCCCATGCACTTAGTGCATGGCATTTGCTATGACGTTAACCAATTATGTATAATCATCTTCTGCGGAGATTTTTAGCTTTTACAGCAGTACCGTTTGGCGTCAGACAGTTTCAGACTCGAGATGAAGGCAAGCATCGGCGATGGATCTGCTCCTGCTGGCCCTTTGGAATCGCCTACGAGCCGAGAGAGAAGACTTCCTCGGTCGCAACTGACGCAAGTTTCTGACAGGTCACTTCTTCTTGAGACCGCTATAGGCCAAGGAACACCTGTCCATGCACTTTGTGCATGCCACTTGCTATGACGTTGACGCGGTCGCATCGCGACTCGGTGGTGGCCGAGTACTAATTACACCCGCACCCGCTTTCTCTACTCGTCCGACAGGCCGCGCTCGCCGCCCAACCGGACACTTCCATTGTAGATGGATACACGGACATTTATATGAATATACCTTGTCTTCAACCTTTTGTGTAAATAATAAAGATCAACCGTGATACTTAAACCCGGCGTATATTTTATTTTCACAACAATTACCCTTTTTGTCTATCACGATTTCAACATTTTGCGCAGTCGGTATTTTCAGGACCTAAGGAAATTTAAATAATATATTATTTATTTTTTTATTTTCTGCACCCCCTTAATTCTAACGGAGTTAGCTTAGCTGGACCTTGAGGTTAGTCTAGGCTCCCACCGTAAGAGAGTTTTTTCTCAAAAAAATTACAAATTTTGGGTATTTTAACGCTTAAAAGCGAAAAAATTAATAGGGTTTTTGTATAGAGTTGTACCCGAGTGTGCTGCCGATTTTTGGTCCAATAATGAAGATCCCGCTGTCAAAGGTCTTAATCAATGTTGCAAGTCTGACCAAGACACACGGTCTGCTGCATTGATTATGAAGGCCCCAATGGACGGGTGAAGTTTCCGCAAGACGGAGTAAACGGCCGTAATGGACCGAAGTAACCCGGAAAAGATATTCTGTTCCATTTTAACCAATTTTTTATTTGTGTGTTTACAAGACACGACATGTAGTTTTGTGTATTTTGACTATTGCGATTGTTCGCATATTGCCGTTCGGTTCTAGAGATAACAGTTAGCTCTGATAAACGTTAGTTATATTTTAGTTACTTTTTTTCTGATGGAATTGGCAGACTGATAGAATGTGAATTTATATTTTGGTGTTTCGGGGCTGGTCACGCTGATAAAATAAAAATTGTGTTATCTTTTGGAAGAACTCTTATCTCTTATCATTTTTTGGAAGAACTGCCCCAAACACGGTTGTACGCACGATTTAGAAGATATCTTCTCTACATCGTGGTTTCCCTTCTGGTTATGTTTTTGCTATAGCATTGCTAACTTCATGTTTGTCATATTATGTATATGATAACGTTTAACTTTAATAAGTAGAATTTTTATAAAGCAATTTGCAAACGAAAAGTAAAATGGTTATGAATTACGATTTAAAAATCGAAATTAGAATGTTAATTGGTGAATAGTGAACACTAAACTATAGAAAATATAATTTTATAGCTCATGTATACAGTTTTGGGTATTAGTTTTTGCAACTGTTATTATAACATAGGTATATCTATTCTTGTATGATATAATATAAAATAATATTATTGTCATTCTGTTGTTCATTATGAACAAACCTGGTTTTTTTGCTGGTTAGTTTGTCTATATAATATAAGCTTAAAAGTGGAATATTTACATTTTGATTTATAACTCCATAGATGAATTTCACAAAGCTAAAGCGTCTGAACACTATAAGCCCATCGAGTCTATTTCTAGTAATAAAAATGCAACTACCACAGCCAATCTTCCAAGTACTAGTGCTACAAAACAATCTCCTGTGAAGGCATCTTCGTCTGCTGCTGTTTTAGTCAATAACAAACAAGTAAAAAATAATTCTTAACTAAACCATAAACTGTTGAGTAATTGAATTTTATTTTTAGAGAGGTAATCCTTTACTAAAATCGATTGTTAACGTACCATGGGAGTATTCAGATAGCATTATACCAGACTATGTTATGGGAAAAACAACTTGTGCCTTGTTTTTATCGCTTCGCTATCATCTATTAAAGCCAGATTACATATATAATAGAGTGAAGGCATTGAGCAAACTATATGAACTAAGAGTTTTACTACTTCAAGTAGATATTAAAGAACCTCATGCTGCATTAAAACAACTAACAAGAATGTGCCTGGCGGCAGACTTAACATTAATGTTAGCTTGGAGCCCTGAAGAAGCAGGAAAACTTATAGAGACTTATAAAATATTTGAAAGCAAACCACCTGACCTTATTATGGAAAAGCCAGAAGGAGACAACTATTCAAGAGTAAATAGACATTTAAAATAATCCATATTAAATGCAATTTTTTTTTTACAATAATATTGGGTTTATAAATTCATTTATAATTTTTACTATTTTAAAGGTTGCCAATGCTCTCACAACAATTCGTGCTGTGAACAAAACTGATGCCAATTTACTGCTTTCTACGTTTGGATCTTTAGAAAATATCTGTAAATCTTCTTTACAATCATTATTATTATGTCAAGGATTTGCTCAACATAAGGCAACACAGTTACATAATACTCTTCATAAACCATTTTTAAAATCAAAAAGTACAAAGAAGGATATTAGCGACTCGTAAATAATTAGTGACTACACAATATAATTTGGTATTTTATGATAATAATAATCAATTGATACTTCAAACATTTTGTATTTTACTATTATAGTTTAATGTTTTATTATACATTTATATATATTATTCTAATTATACATTATACAATATTAAAATCTTTTTATTTTATTTTAAAACGACCTTCGAAATAAACATAATGTATGTCTGGTGAAAGTTTGAAACTCTTTTGAAGGTTATGGATAAACTAAGCCCGGTATGGCTCTGGTAACTTTTTCAGTGAAACATAATGCTATAGAGGTTCTGTACCCGGTTCCCCCCTGACCTCCATTGAGTGTCTGCCAAGTACCAATGCCGATACTTAAGATATAAATATGTCCCTTCTTATTAGCTGAGTAGATTTAATAAACTAGTTTTTTTTTTTGTAATAAATATTTCCAAAAGCAAAAAAAAAGTAAATTTAATGTGTGCATGTTGAAATATTACTGAAGTGTAAATATTTTTTTTGTAAAATGTATTCATGAAATTTTTACATAATTATACTAGTTAATTCCAACAAATCATAATTGGACTATTCATCATTATTATTTAACTATAATTGTTAAGAATCTATTACACAAACTATTTAAATTAAATTGATAAGTTTGTTCATAATCTTTGTTATTATATATTTTTTTATCCATCTATACGAGCATTTTTTGGATAAATAACTATTAGTTACTAAGACCAATGGTTTGGTAAAGTAACCTCATTATAATACCTAATAACGAGATTATTTAATAAATAATTTTATATTTAGTATAAGTGGCACATTGTAGTGTAAAAAATGCTATAACATTACAAACTTTCGATCCAACTATAAAGTCAAGTGGGGCAATTGTGTACAAATTGACAAGTGTAAACGTAATTAAAACAACAATTGAATTGGAAAGTATTAAGTGCCAAGTGGTACTAAAATTCCATGAACAAAAAGTCGTACCTATATTTTCAATTTTATCCCATTGGGCATTGGCCGTTTATAATATATATATATATATACATCAATGGCTGATGAGTTTATCACACAAGATTTCTTTATAGGTCTATGGTTTATCACGGTAGATAACTACGGTGTTTATATTTTATCAGGTCTATCAGTCTATGTTATTTATTTAGAACTAATCAAATTCAATATAAAGAGTAAGTAGTTTTTGATATTTTTCCTCATGAATAGCGTAGTATCAGTAAACTCTATGTCATTAATATCGATTGCCGTTTTAAGCACGTTATCATTATCGGCAAAACTTACTTTTTAGGCAGTGAAAGCAGAATTGCTGTACGTAATGTTTCAGTATTAACAAGCTATCAAGGCATATTTTTTTCTGATAATTATGGGTAACGTACAAGCATCTTCTAATTTACCACCAATGCCGCCAAATTTGACGCCTGTACCTCCTCCAAGTGCACCACAAAGACTGTTGCCTGAGAAGCGCATTGAAAATCCCGGTTCGGTTGAAGAGCTACACAAGAAATGCAAAGGTACGTCTTTTAAAAATGCCAACCTCCCTAGTCCTATTTATTTTCATATTTTTGTGTTTGGATCCACAATAACTTTTGAACTCCTGGATTAAATTTTATAATGTGATAGGACAAAAATTATAACCAAAAAGTACTTTACTGGGCCAAAAATCCCCCATCCGCTTTCAAATTAATAACACACTAATAATTACACATTTTTAAACTTAAACTAATGGAGTGCTCAAACTGTTTGAAAAATAGTTTAAATACTTTGAAACTTTTATGGAATATACTTAAGATGTCTATATCTGGTCTTAGGGTTTTAAAATTTCATGAAATTTATTTTTGTGAAATATTGAAAAACGGTGAAAAATTGAATTAAAACTACTAATTTCTATGCAGCCACTATCCATGACAATTTTGATTTATTAGAAACATTAAGCAAAGAATGTCTTCATAAAAATTACAAAATTCAAATGTATAATGCAATAAGCAATCCTTTTAACACCGACTTATAGCTTAAACATTTTTTTTTATAAATTTTAGTTAAAAATTTCAAAATCAAAATTGAACAAGAAAATTTAGTCACCAAATTAAAAATTCTGATTTCCATCTTTTATGTATATATGTATATAAATTTGAATTTTTATTTGTTTGCATAAATGTCCATTACTACAATACCCTTTAAAAGACTCTTAAGGATTTTAACTCTCCCATGATAGAGAAATGGCCACCTAACTGGTGCAGAAGGCAATAGGAAATCAATGTACCATACCCAATTCCCCTAGATGGCAATTTTTTTCTCTTGTAGTGCAAGAGTTGTCCAAACCGACCTAAACAAGGTTGTAAACTATAAAAAAAAACTCTATACACGAGCGCGTTTGAATTTCACGGACGATCCATCATAGCGAGCAGATAGTAAAATATAAATTGCACAATCTTCTAGTATTGACTTTAAATTATTTGTTTAGTTAAAATACTTAGATATATTCTGTACTTTTTAGAATTATTTCCTGTGGCGTTTGATGGTATTCGTCTTGTTATCAACAAAGGAATTAGCAACCATTTTTTTGTCAGTCATAGTTTGCTGATTGGACCAACGAGCCAAAATTCAGGCTATAAATTTGGTTCAACGTTTATCGGCACTAATCAAACTAGTCCTGGTGAATATAGACCTTTATTGATTGGAGATATTGACCCTCAAGGTAATATATCTACCAACGCATTCATACAGCCATGGAATAGAGTCAATGTGAAACTTCAAACTCAAGTATGTTAAAAACACTTTTGATAAAATAATTATATGTGTTGAAGCTACTAAATATTTTTATGTGGTGTTAATTCAACAGTTTCAAGAGTTCAAAACAACTGGAATTCAAACATCAGTTGAATACAGAGGAGATAGATATACAGCCTCCCTACACCTAGTGAATCCAGATCTATTTAATTATACTGGACTGTATCTATCACAGTTCTTGTATGCACTGAACAATACTACTTCTGTGGGTTGTGAAGTAGTTCACCAGCGAGGCCCTCAAATTCCAGATGGGCACAATACTCAATTTAATATTCTAGGAAGATATTTGTGTAAGATCTTACTAAATCATAAATTATAAATTAAAGGCACTAAACAATTATTTTTATAGAAATTGAAAGTATGTGAATTCTTTCAATCTCTTAAAACACACATTTCTATTGAAAAAACATGCTTTACATGTAAATATGATACCATCGAAGAGTAATCTAATTTTTTTTTTTTTTTATAAAAATCAAGATTTCTTACCGAACGCATTAATCTTCAATTTTTAATTTCTTAGCCCCGTATTAAGGGTTAGGCTTTTCTATTTATGTTTTGTTTGTTTATTGAAGAGAAAATTATACCAAGTATTTACTAAGACGTTCGGTATATGTAATTTTTTAAACATCTAAAACGTGTGTTTATATAATATTACAGTAATTAGTTGTTACTATAATAGGTGTTTTTCCTCTTAAACCATTATGGAGCGAGTAAAACAAATTACAATTTTTGTGCTGGAAAAGTGGGTGTATAACATTTTCTTAACATTGATGTTTGTGTGTGAATAAATCAAGAAATTCGTCCTGTAAGATTTATTACTCTTTAAAAAACAAAATCTGATCACTCTGAAACATAATTTCTATTTAAAAAAAAGTCAAAGTAAATTTTTAACCACAAAAATAGCTATTTCATATAAAAAAAATATAAACAAATAATACCCTAAAACGAATGCAAATTGATTTACAAATAAGTTCACGCAATCAAAATTAATAAAAACTGCCTAAATTTTATTTTCTCTGAATACATATGTGTGTACTATAGTGTGTATATACTACACTTATTACTGTGATTATTAAAACATTTAATTTTGTTTGATTTTCAGATGATGATGCTACCACAATCAGTGCGTCTCTAAGTAAATCGAGATTGCAATGCTGTTATCATTACAAAGCTAGTGAACAACTACAATTTGGAGTAGATCTTGAAGGAAGTCAACAAGATATCAATACAACTATTGCATATCAAGCTCACATTCCAAAATCAGATTTTAATATTAAAGGTAATCTTAAGAACTTACAATAATAATAAGTAATAACACTAACAATAACAAGAACTTACATACAGTGGTACAAAATCTATAATGATAAAAGGAAGTGTCTGTCTGTCTGTAAGCCAAATCTACAACACAAATAGATTTTAAAATGTTTAACATAGGTGGACAAAAGGAGTCCAAATCCAAAAAAATTAAACTGATTATAAAATAATTTGAAAATTAAATATGACTTGGCAAAACACTGAATAATTTAAGGAAAAACATACATACATGGACGAAAATGTATTTAAATACTATTCAATTAAGACTAAAACTAATAGTTATTTATTAAGTGTTCCAACAAAATACTTGCTTTTTAATGTTCTGTTTGAAAAAAAAAAATTAAAATAATTTGTTTTGATACATAATGATTTATACACTTTTTTTTCATATAGCTTTGCTTAGTCAATGTTAATAATATTTATATTTGCATTTGTAATCCTATTTTATTATTATTCTAACAATTCAAAATACTTTAAATTAAATGTATTAAAAGTTATAACTAATATTTATTGTTTAAATTGCACTTCATTATTTATTTGTTAATTTTTTTTATTCATGTAAAAATGAATGAATATTTTATTTTTTTAGGTAGTATTGACAGAAAGTGGAATATTAGTACTGCATTAGAAAAAAGATTGAATCCAATGCCATTTACATTTGCAATAAGTACAGTGTTTAATCCTGTCAAAAACCAATTGAGAACGGGAATTGGATTTTTTGTTGGATAACAGACTTTTATGTTTATTTATTGTACATATTTTTCATTTGTTATTATTGTGTAATAACTTCATTATACATTTTTATAAATACATTTTTTTTTTTAGTTGACATAAAAAAATGTTTACCAATGTTAAAAATAAGTTTGTCCACATACAGGGAAAATCCAGCATAGTCACTTTTTAAAAGTGGCAATTTTTTTGTCATAAAATTCGTTTTGATACAAAATGAATATTGTCTTTATTTTTAAGCACAATTATAAACAAAAATTTAACATTTTTTAAAAAGTTTTAAAGTATTTTTTTAACATTTTAAAACATTTTTTAGCATTACTTAAACATGTTTTTCTTAGATCAGAAAAAAGTGACTGCTGGTTTTTTTCCTGTACCCTTCATATTAAGACATAAGTTGAGGAACAGCTGTATTTTAGAGTGTACATTTGTTGTTTGAACTATTTATTGATTTGCTTTAGCTTATTTTAAGTCGGACATTACCCGACAAATACTACATCAAACCAAAAATAACTATTAAATAGATTTAATAAATCTATTGTATCGAATGTGAAATAAGTATGTAATAAATATGTAAAAAAGAAACAAGTCGAAGTCGATCTGTGTTGTGTGTATGATGATGATATTTATTGCTTATTTAGGCGATAATATAATAATTAACAAAAATTAAACTGTACACCTAAACAAAATGTATAAGGTGAAAGGCTTCAAAGAAGTATTGGATCCGATACCAACACGGTCCTAATCATATTGTTCTCGATCATCGATGCTCTTGCTCATGTAGAGGATGTACATATTTATAAGTATGAGTGTTTGATTATATTTATTGAAACGCATATATTATATGGGTATTATGTTTTTCAACAACATAAGCAAATAAAATAACTAATATTGTTCAAAAAAGTTCAAGTAGTTTATCAATTTCTTGTGTGTCTTTTTCTTTTACTCCATGCTGTAACAAACAAATTTAGTATCAATATTCGATTAAATTTTTCTTAAACTAAAACGTGGTTATTAACATGACGTTATAAAATTGTAAAAATTGCATTTCTATTTAAATACCTTATAAGTATCTCCCATTAGTTATAGATATATTCATTTATATCCCAGTGAGAGATATATTACATAAGAAAATAATAACATAGTCCTAGAGTGATTTTATAAATTAACTTTATAAAATACAGTCATTCTAAGCAGGAAAGGTTTTGGCTATTTATAGTGTCTGTGGGATGGTATATTATATGATAGCAACCAGGATTAGATTTATTCTAATCATCGTTCCAAGATTCTACTGCATGAAAATAGTGTTCACAAAGCTCTTTAGCAGTTCGCCGTGCTGGGTTTTGTGATTTCAGACTGTTAATCAAACGGTATGATGCTATTTCCAGATGAAAATTAAGTTTATATATTGTCTATGTACCTATACTGTCAATACTCCATGGTACTGCTATAAAATGGACGTTTTAAATATACTAAGGTTAAAAAAATAGATATTTAAGAAGTAAAAAAATATCTAAACTTATGAAAATTTGAAGACTTTTTTATATTGTACAGTCTTTAGTGTTACTGTGGAAACCTATATTTAATAATAAGATACCTATAATATTAGCCTATATTACCTATAATATATTAGCAATTTGTATTTTTTGTATGACATTTATTTTTACGCTATTAACTGTTATGTATATAAGCACGCAGTTATTACTTGTTATAACTTATATCACTAGTATATTATTACTAGTATATTATTAGGGCTCCGTTAAAATATTAATTACTTGCCATAAGTGCCTTTTCATAACAAAGTTTTGCTCGTCTTATGTTTCCCAACTTGAAGTTTGCCATGGCGAGATAAGCCCATATTTCTCCGTTTTTATTGTCTATGACGTTTGCTTCGGCCAGTGCGTTTTCAGATACTTCTACTTCACCTATCTAAATAAAACAATAAGTAATAACAATAGTAGGCAAAATGGTAAATGGTTAGGTATAGGTGTACAGAATGTACTCGTTTAAATGTATGTAATAGCCAATAGGTAGGTACATAACGTACAACAGTGGTAGACATATAATACTTTTTTGATTTAGTTCAATGGATACGTATTAATACAGAGTTCCGTTAATTATTTGTTACGTTTTTGAGTTTGTTCAAAATTATTCGTTATTCCACGTCTACACATAATATTTATTATCACGCTAGTAAATTGAAATAAGAGTAACTTGTGTGGTTTTACTAAATAATTATGAGAAAAATCCTATCCACAATAAAATATACTAATTGTAAACGTGTACGCGTATTTCGGCGACTATGTTGCCATCTTAAGTGTTAGCCGCATACATGCATAAACAGTAATAAAAAAGCTAAATAATGCCTCCCACTCCACTCGAAATTTCAGGGGAAAAAAATATTATCTTTGTTTTTTGAACATAGTCATTAGCTATAAAAATTGTAATTTGTATGAAAATCGCTTAAATAGACCAAAATTGCGTTTTATCTTTTTGTTTAATAACAGAAAACAAAAAAAAAGGGGTAGATTGCACTTTGGCTGTTGTAAATTTCTAGCTTGCTATGTGATGTGTGAGTGAATCAACAGTCAAAAGGTATTTGAAAATATTTTTTATTATATTGTTAATTACGATTTATGGGTAACTATGTAACTATGCCAATAAATTATTATAGACAGATGATTAACACTAATCGTGTCCAACCTACCTAATACCTACCAAAAATAAAATATTGAGCACGTTATTAACATTACAATATTTTTTTTCGATTTTTGTAATTCTACCATCTACAGATTCGCTTTAAAGCGTTTTTCTGAAAGTAATTTTACACTTTCAGTTATAATAATTCCCGTAGATCTGTGACTTCATCGCCCCAATATGCTCCAACCCCACTATGCTCCCACTCTACTGTACTGGCTTTTTTTAATAACAAAATAAAGGTTCTGCCGGACCTATTTTGTTGATAATTCTTCACTGACATACCTTTAACAATGATTTGCCCAACAAAATAAGAATCATCGGTGTCCACAAAACGGTACATGCCACCAGACATATCTCCGCTGCTCTTGTATAGCATTCTTTATCAAAATAATATTGAGCGCCTTTTAAATATATCAGATGGTGTTCTTTACGTGCATTTTTTATTTCATTTATACTCAGCAAGTACTTTTCCATAGTATCGATCCGATTGTTCATTTCGATGTCGTTGAGGCATCTTAGCATATCCATGGCTTCTTTCTGTTGATTATATATGTATTTTTAACACGAGCGTCTCATGATACTATGTTTAAAAGATTGTAAAGTAAATAATTGGAACAACATTGGAAAAATCTTAGAATTTTAAAGCAACTATACCTAGCGCCGCAACCCAGCAACCCATCAATATACTGATAGGTATTGATAATGGGTAACTCGTGCAAGATTTTTTAATCTTGTCAAAAAGATAGGTAGGTATGCAAGCTGAACTTTTTTCTTTTCTAAAAAGATCTAAGCTAAGGTAAAATGCTCCGAACTCAATTTTTACCTGAGATTTATAATATATATTACATATTACATATTGATTACTAAATAAAAACGTATTTAATTAGGTTTAAAGGATTATAAAATATAATATAAAGTGATAAAAGCACCGTTGAAATAAATTATGTTTTTTAATTTTATGAACCCACAAAATAGAACTCACGGCTAGTTTAGCTGCAAAGCTCCTTTTTTGTCACTCTAGTAATTTAGCCTCAAATTTTTCGTTATTATGGAATTAATTTGAAAGTACTATAATTATATTTTTATGTCCTTTATAGTGTGGCGGAACATGTTTTTACTTTACTCCACTTTTCCTTACTGTTAGAAAGTTTACTTGAGCAATGATATTTAAAGCAGTTTTTAATTAATTAACGTTCTCCACGTTCGATAAAAACGTCTTCAAAATCAGCCAGATCATATGGTTATGTAGGAACTACTAAACAGAAAGTTTTATGCGCAGTTTACTATACTCATTATCGTATTGATAATATGTTTGGCATGATTTACTACTAGATATGCGATAAGTGATAAATTTAGCGGCGCTGTTAACTGCCTAATTTTAGATAGATAAAACCGTTCGACACAATATGTTGCCCACTGATAATACAGAAAGGAACTCAACAATACTGACGTGTGGTAACTACATGATTCTTCACTATATCATCGTAGTAGATATCAGTACCGGGCGAGTGTAGTTATTTTTCTGCTGATTGAGAATGAGATAAATAAAAAAAAAAAGTGTAAAGTATTAATGTGTATACTTACAGATGCAGTAGGCGTCAATATATCGCTGTTAAGGTGATCTAAGCTTTCTTTATAATTTCCACTTTTGTACTCGCAAACCGCCATATAATAGTAATACTCATCGCAGCTGCCTTTGATAATATCCAAACAATATTTTGCCATCTGGGGGTAAAAAGACATAGATGTGATTTTGGCGATAGTCAGGGTTTAAACATTTGTTTTTTTATAAATACTTCTATGAGTTCGAACTTCAATAGCAACACAGTGCATTTGATTACGGGATGTTCGTTGTTACCAATAGGTTTCCAACACAGGGAGTCATTCGGGATATTTCCAATAACCGACCACTGGACCGATTCCTTAGCTACAACACACGGTCAACAAAAGTTTGGATTAAAAATAAAACGAACTTCCTTTTAAGTGGTACTTGAAATGTATTTGTGTACTCAAATGCATTCAGTTAAATGACATAATTCTCCTTATTTTTATAGATAAATATACACATGCATGTAAAGTGTACACGGTATAGGTAGTAGGCATACACTAGAACCTACTTATGTTTACCTTTTTGCAGCATCATAAAACGGGCATTATGCATTTCCGTCAGTCCATAGTAAACACTTAGCAAAACGTACGGTTCGTTAAAGTCTCCGCGATGCATTATTAACGACTTTAACACGGTCTCACAATTTTTATAATTTTCATCCTCTCCAATTGTCAACTGTATGGCTGCATACAAAAATAACCTATACAAGAAATGTTAAAAATGATCGTTATACTTGAAAATTGGTTCAACTTATTTTACGAATGTAATAATATCAAAATGTTAACTATAGTTATAAAAGTTATGACTATACGTAGGCACTAAGAAGTTGGTAGCTGGTGTTATACCACAATAAGATTGTTAGAGGATGCGTTACATAGTCGATAATACATTGAAAATTCGAGAGTAGGCTAAAATTATTTAGTCCTTATACTAAAAAACATTTCTAATAATAAAACTACCAATGAAGGATATTAAAAAAAAAAAAATAATAATAAAACTAAAATAGTTATTATTAATACAACTATTTATTAGGTACATAAAATTCCAAAATAGCGTAAAACAGTTAGTAAATAAAACAGAATTTTAAAATACTGAATATTGAAATCGTGAGGGTTTTACACATTAAATTTGTTTTTAACACTGTAGTTGAAAAACGAATTCAAAAGCAAAGTAATATGTATAAATAAACATAAATTTATCCTTAAATAAATTAATAAAACTAAAATCTGTCGTAGAATAAAGTCAAATATTGCCTATAAATCGTACCGTTTATAAGAGGATGCCACACATACAATTTTTCCATGTAAAAATTATGTTATTAATTCTATACACTACACTACACATATATTTTATCATTCAATCAATATTTTGACATTATAATAGAAAGATCTATTATCTGAATTTTACTAAGAAGGCAAAGGGTGTTTTATTTAGTAAAACTTTTTTTTTATTGATAACTATAAATTATAATATGATACTTTGATAATATAATTATAGATCTAAATTAAGTTTTTGTGAAAATTGCCTATACTGAATACCTTAATAAATAGGGTTTGTAAAAGTAATAGTAATTATATGAGGGTGTCTTATAAAATAATTGTATCTTTGTATATTTTAAACATCTGTGATCTACTATTTATTAGGCAAAATATACGTAAGGAATTTTTATAGAAAGCGACGAATTTTTACGACCTTACAGTGTGATTTTATGTGAAAAGTGATAAAATTCGATTAAACGAGATGTGTTCTTTTTCTCTAAAATTAATATTAACGTTTCTCAGACCTAATGTTTACTGCTTGGAAGTTGAGTTTTACACATATTTTGGTAATATGCAAGTATACATTTCTAGTAGTTGGGAACGGAAAAGAATAATGTTATCAAAGACAGTTACAAAAGCGTCGTTTGGAAGTAATTTTTCAGTTGCGGCCAAGGTGTATCTATACCTACGTCACGGTGTCACATCGTAGTTTGTATCATATGGAAAATGTCACGTGCACACAACATATAATATTATTATGTGCAGATGGCTGTATACATTTTTTTTGGCAGATGTTGGATTTGTGAGCTGGTGAGGTTATACCTATAAAATATATTGATAAAACGGGCCGCGACGTTCTTATTTACAAACTTACCCAAGGTAAACAAGACGGGTGACAGGTTTACGTCCTCCTCTGTTGTGTACTATATAGCGGCCATTGCAGCGTTTACGGGGCTATAATACACTCTAGGTGAAAAGGACGGTAACGCGCGTTAAAGTTCGTTTGTAGCAATAATGTTAAGTTTCTAACACCCCGACGACGACGAAAATAATTAGAAAACTACAGCCAGTCGGTACGGTCTGCGATCGTTGTACCCATCATATTATAAATTATAATAGCAAATGATAAAACGTTTAACGATATGCGTGTCTCGTGTGCTAGATTCTTTAAGATTGGTTTTTTTTTTTTGCCAAGTTTCGACGGGTGTCCGTCGTCGGATATATAATATATAATATATATATATATATATATATATACACATAATATATGAAGACCGGTAGTGCCGTGACGAAAACTGCGCATAACACGTGCGTGCTCGGATGACAGTATAATATAATATAGTGTTCGGCTACATGTATATAATGTACTAATATAATACTGTAGTGGCACTGTGTAAAACTCGCCCGATCCAATTGCTGCCGTCCACCAGTAACACTTCTTCGACACACTCCAAAGCCGTATTGAAATCTAGTCGCCCCAAGCAAAAACTAGCGTACAACAACCAGTAGTCGGGGTCACACCTCGTGCCGGCTGTGGAGATTAACTGTGAAGGAAAAACGATGGTAGTCGTTAGCTGTTATAACGAATATAAATATAATATAATAATAAATATAATAAAAATGTATACTGCATTAGTCATTACTACAAGATCTGATGGTCGTATAATGTGAGTGAATAAAAAAAAATTAATCGCCGCCACCACCACCACAAAAATGTAATTTATTTTTATCGAGAAACCTTTTATGAGTCGTTCCGTCCGATACCGTTTCAATAACGCGTACAAATAATATTTAAACAATTTAGACCGTCATCGACGGGTTTTTTGTTTTTGACCGCGAAAAAGGGTCAGTTCTCCGAGCCAATCTTCGTTACCCTCGGGCGTACCTGTATATAGCCGCGCGCTACTCGGCTATCTGTGAGTGTTTATTTTTTATTTTTAGCACTTACTCGGATATTTTGTGTCAACCTTTTTTTTATACTGAACTTTGAGTACTTATAAAAGCGTATGAAAAAATGTAATTTTTTAGTGACTTATGTGTCGTGTGACAACTTTAAAAAATACATAGCGGTATATTTTATTATTTTATTTATATCATTAGGTATTGTTTGATAAGGGATGACAAGCTAAATAAAGCTATCTAAATCTTGTAGTTAAGAAAACAATCAACTCAAAAAAAACTTTGTGTCGAAACTAGCTCTTAAAGATAACGTTTTATATATCCGACACACTGAAAAGGAAAAGAACGTGGATGTCGTACGGCGCACTTCGGAATGTTTGTTGCGGATTTCGATATCTATTGTAAATCCTTTTGTAGGTATTTTATACTTTGTATATACTATTGGGCTAGTGTGTACTTGTTTTTGAGGTGACTAACGTTTTCGTAATACGCCTTAGCGCGTTCTATTTGCTTGGATTCGGAAGCCTCTCTGGCGTAGCTGGCCATTTGTTTTTTCTTCAGCTGTAGACCGTCGCCGTCGGGACAGGAATGCGGAAACTCGAACGACTCTGCCACGATCTCGGTTTTAGCAGCCAAGTCCGCGGAAATACGGTTCACGAAGCTCTACAACAGGTTTTCGTGTGTACAGTACACGTCCATGCGTTATGTGTACTTACAAATAGTACACACAAACACATGTACCGCGTACGAGTTACAACTGTAGCTCGATAAAAATAGTAATAACAATCACAACAACAACAACAACAACGTTCTACTGGGGAACACCGAAAACAATAAAGTGTTAATACTAAATTTTTGAATATATTCTATTATATATTATTATTTTATACTACCAATTTATATCACTTTTGAGTCTATTAACCCTTTATTATTATGTTTTCAGATTATGAAACAAACATTTTAGAGAACTCTTCTTGAGAACATTTTTAAAAGTCGTAAGAGCGATCTCCAATTTCCGTTGAACGTGTTAATCAATTAACACCACATAGGAGAAACTAAGCCCGAGTAATGGTTAATTCTTAACGGTCTCCAGGAATAGTAATAAACGTCAGAGACTCTCATATTAACTTTATACATGATATAGCTAGCGACAAATATAACTTTAACCTAACACGGAACATGATTGCAAAATCAACATGGCAATATACTTTCTCAGCTTTACATCGAATATTATCTGTACAAAAACTCTTCTCTAAATTTGAGATTGAATTAAAAAATGATTTAAGATTATAATTATAAATATTGTCAAAAAATTATTAAGACTTTGTCGAATAGGATGAGCCAGTGTAAGTACGCAGACTCGCGACGCCTCGGTCTTGCCAAGACATTAAGTATTATCACCTGGTTCAATATTATAAATCCCCGGGTATCAATTTTATCTGTTAGGTCTTATAGTTATAAGCCAGCTATAATCCTGTCGCGTCTCTAACTTGTTCACACGTTGTCAAACCACAACACAAGATTAGTTAAAAATGAGTAAAAAATTATAATAGCAAAGATATTCAAATTACAATAATTATTATTTAAATTTCATTTAAAACTTACTTGTACCGTTTCGCAGATCAACGGACCTAAATTTTTTTCTGAGACGTACGCTTTCATATCGTTTGACAGGGATGATACCATTGTATTGTACATCCCAGTATCTTTTAGATCCTTTATGTGTTTATCCACATTAGTATCGTTGGTCTGTTTGTTATCGCGACAATGAAAATCGATTCAGTTAAAGCTCAACGTGAGAAAATACTAGTCAATTAAAAACAGTGATTAGCAAATCACTTACTGTGTTTTTCATCAACGTCTCTACTATGGATCTTAATGTTTCTTCGAATTTAATGACAGCTGATTTTGTACTTTTGGGTGGCTCTATTTTATCAACGCCAAAACCTAATTCTAAAACACTATCGCGTTATGATTAATCAAAAAAGCTTAACGTGCAGGCATGGATAATATAAATCTATATATCTGAGTACGTATACCAATAAATAGTTTTTCCTACATACTCTAAAGTCAGACGTTCTAAGTACTGTCTGTAAAACGAACTAGCTACAGACACATCTACAACCACAAATGACATTGACATTTCCTTAGTGTTGTTTTTTGGTTCTTCGAGCATCGTGGTAGTAAACTAAACAAATAATTGTTAAAAGTTATAATACGTATGACATGTAAGTAACAACTGATACTTAAGAATCGAGCTAACAATTAGGAGGTCGACATGAGAAACACGGTGGTGATGTTAAGAGGCTGAAAAGGTTATATCTTTAAAAAAAAAAAAGTTATGGTTATAAATGGTAAAAATACGAGGAGGATTGAATAGTAAGAAACGAAGAGTAAAGAGATGAAAAAGGTAATAGAATAGGGCCTAAAATTATGAATTTTCACAAAAAAATAAAACAATTTATAGCTGTATAAAGTTTAAAAGTTACTCATTCTAGATATAACTTATAGATAATATGTAACTTACCAAAACTATTTTTGGGAAAGTTATGAATTGTATAAGAAGCTAGAGGAACCAAAATAGAGAAAAATGAGATATATTAACTAATAAAAGGTATGAGAAAATAGATCCAAATAAAAAATAAGTTATAAGTAGATTAAGTGCTTACGAAACCATAATGTGGTGAAAGGTAGATAAAATAAGAGAACAATTTAACTTATGGTTTACATATCGCCTTTCAGAGACAACATTTTTTTATACAATTGCAGACAACTATAATAAATAAAAATAATAAAAAATCAAGAATTTTTTCCGAGAAGAAACTTTGGAATGAATCATGTGTAAGTGAATTTATAACACAATATCCGAGCGTATTATATGTACCATGAGTATTAAGACAAAACTCATAAATGTCATTATAATAAACATACATTCCCCAACGGAAAACAGTGAAGAAGACGGCAAGGATTTTTTTATGGTGAGCCGTCCAGAATTTATGACAGTGCAATTGGCACACATTACAATTGATTGGAGAGGCAAATGCAAAAATTGGATAAGAAACATCAGTATACACTTACAATTGGACTAGAAGGTGTGCTTTGGTTAAACAATAATAACGGATTAAGATTGATGTCATTTGTGGCCTCGAGGAGAAGAATTATTTTCATTAGCAGTACGACATTCCCACACAAGAATATTCACAAATGAACTTGGAAATCACCGAACAGATGAATTACAAATCAAATAATTAATAAAACATCTAGCCATTGGCAGTAGATTCGATCTATTATAACAAACATTAGGACGAGTGGTCGAGTGGGTAAGGCGTCATTGTGTTTGGCGCTCACTATCGCCGTTTCGACACTAGGTCACGGGAGCTTCGTTTGCCGAGCAAGAAATGGTCTGGTGAAAAGGAGCCGCCATGAACTGACCCGTTTTGGTCAAGAAACCCAAATTCATCAAGAAATCATCTCATGGCAGCAGCGTTAGACTGTAAAGACCCGTTAAGCTACAAAATTTATGATAACTACTATAAGAAGCTACAGAGCAGCTGATTGTGACTGGTATCTGACGATACTTTTTGGTTATTGGAAGGTTTCGACTTAAGGTAATGTCATTAATCAAGGAGTTAGGTATAGGCAATTTTTAAAAAAATATTTATTTACAGGTTAAACTGTGATGTGTTAGTTCAGTAATTAAGACTCTTTTTTGGTAGTTAATTTAGTTTTCGGAGTATCACAGCATCTTTGAAAGTGATTTAAAAATCTTTTTTCTACTAAACATGTTCACGCAGACTGTGCAGACTTGGTTTTAGAGTTAAAGCACCTATTATAAAATTAAAACAAGAAAATATTCTGGAGCGTATTGCGATGCGTTTTTTTCCATTATTCCAAATAGAATCTAGTAAAAAAGTAGAAATATGTAAGGAATATTTCAAGAAATTATTAAACGGCGAATGAATGAATGAACTGCAATACATAAGTGAAATAATAAAAATATCATGAACTGCAAAGCATCTGGGAGAGTTAGAATTCTGGCCGAACTGTTTAAATGTGGGGGACAAGCGCTACTCAAACAATGAGTTTAGTTTGACGATAAGGAAGGAGGATACATTTTATTCAGAATCTTCAACAGGAGTGGAAAAAAGCCATTATAGTATCGCTACATAAGAAAAAGGACAAAATAGATTGTATGAGATAAAGCGAAATCAGTAAGCCGAATCGTGAATGAAGAAAAACACAATGGTTTAATGGGGTAAGTCAGAACTTAAGAATGTTGAGGTTAAAATATTAAAGGAAAGCAGTGCATGCTAAAGTCTAGAGAGAGTTGGAAGGCAGCGGCTATGGTGTTTAAAACTCTTAGGAGTGTTATGTGGCTAAAGAAGAAGAAGATATAATAATATAAAATATATATATATAACAGGACCTAGAATAACTTAGATACACATTTCCCCTATTCGATTATAAACTTATTGTAATTCCCGTTTACCTGACAACACGTCTCACCTAACTACACTTCAAAGCAAATAATCGCCTCATAAATATCAAAGTATTAGTATACGAATTCGTAAGTGAATAATGAAATAACCGTTAAAATGTTCAAAATAAATAAATATTAATTATTACATAGATCAAAAAAATATCTAAGTATTTAAGTTAACAAACCTCTTTCGCTGACGATTCCTCATTTTTGTTTTCAATAATCCGAATCATGTCAATGGCATCTAAAAACGCCCCGCTGTGCATTTTTTTATGCAACGGACGAACAACCGATATACACCGAACTGAAGTGCCTGTAAAACAACAGTTATTATTATTAAAAATTCTTCCAGTACAGTTTAATAACACTATTATGGAAGAAAGCCTGACATTGGGGTTGCATGAGTGCAGATAGATCTAAGAGAGCAAAAAATGTGTCTCCTCCTGAGTTGGGCGAAATCAAAACACTTTCTGCCACTGATATTCGGCTGACGTAGACCGCGGCAGACGTTTCAATGGTAAATAATATCGGCCAGTATCTAGACCTGTATGTTTTAAGTATAGCACACATTATACCGACTGTCTATGTTGTCCATCATGGATACCATACTTGAAAATCGTATCTTGAAATGCTTTAGAAGTGATTGAATCCATGGCAAACCTGTGTCGCAAATTCCACAAGTATCTGGGCCCTCTGTTCATCACATCGTTCGGTCTGAGTACCTTGGCAGTGTTCATTACTGCTCGTCCATCGTATTCAAACCTTAATATATAGATATTAATAACAGGATAAGATAAAAATTATATCACATGTAGTTTGTTGGAAAAAGGGGGTGTCCCGGTAGTTAACATATTTTTTGTATTTAGTGCCAAGATCTTGTGGTAGCAAAATACCTGAACATAACATTTATGAAGATCAATTTGGTTTTAGCTTGGAATATCAATATCCTAATTGATTTTGAGATCCATTCAAAGTCGGTGATCATTGATATCAACTTTTATACTTGCTAGCTATTAGGGTGGCAATTTTTTTTGTTTTCTAATGACAGTAGTACCCTCTTAAATTTGTAATACTTTTTATGAATTCATTACACCAAATTTTAACCGAATTGAACGAAGAGAACATATACACTAAACATTTGAAATAGCTACGATACTACGGTATTAGCTTAGTAATAAATAAATAAATTGAACTGAAAAAACAGTAACAAAATTATGCTTTATTAAGGTGCCAGTTAGCTATTGAAGGGTCAAATATAGGCAATAAAAAACAAACTATTTGTTCAAATAATTTCAACGATGCCAACTTATTTTTATCTTACCTTGTATTAGCTTTAAAGTATACAAATTTTTAGTCAAGTTAAATTAATTTTCTATTAGACTATTTTCTATTTAATTAAAAATTTGTTGGCAAAACCATTTGGCTGATTGTCTATTCTTAATTGTTATCACATATAGTTTAGTGTTTAATAATATTATATAAGTTTGAAGCTACTTATTGGGAGTGTAGCTCTAGAAATGTGCTTAGAATTTGCACATAATATAATACTTAAGGATTCTTTTAAATAAATTATAATACATGTGTATACCCAAAGAGTAAAAAGAAAATCTGTATCGTTATACATATTATGTCTTAAAGACGCATATTAGTGTTAAGTATCGTTCAATAGTAAGATTATTACAATATCAATATTGTTCAATTATATATATTTGTAAAAGGTGGTTTGTCATATATTATAATAGAGAATAAATAAATATACCGACTACATATGCAATAAACCCTTACCGTGTACCACAATAAAATAAAGTATATAATATAGACTATAATACAGTTGCATATACTTAGTGTAAATCTAAATCGAGACCACCTGTATTAGATTTCGTTTCATTCTTTTAAATGCAGTTCATAATGGCATTATGTTTACCTACGTGCATAGAGTATAGTGCGCAGTATTCACTGTATAGTGTATTCATATATTATATACTATTATGTACGTGCAGTCAAAACGATGGCACTACACCGGGCGGCGCTATTTTAAATAATCTCGTTCATTGTTTTATTTATACTGCGGTCGCCTTGTATAGATGTGTGTGTAGTATTACTATAAATATATACACAAGTGTACTTTGATTATTGTGTGTGTGTTTTGTGTATAAATATATTATTATTTAAGTGGACGACGGTCGAATAAGCAGAAGAAGAAGTCTCTAAACGATATTTTTGTTTTTTTTCTTTTCTTTTCACATTATGCCTGGTCGTAGTTTTGACCTACCGCAGATCGGTTCGAGTGGCTGCCGCGGTATGAATTCGTGGGAATATTTTTATTACATATACCTCTGACCTGTGGCCGATACGTTTGCTGGTATGTCTTCCTGCAAGGAGTTCCACCTCACCTCGTTCGAGTTCTCCCTCGTTACGTCGTCCGTGTACCCGCCCCTCGCGAATAATGTAGCCGCCGACATTTCGCCCTAAAACACAATTACACGCCATTATTTTTTGCTTAAACGCAAACCTAAGCTAGCCGGCGAGGCGTTCAAAACTTTATGCAGAAAATGCGGCCATCTAAACTCGAGTCAAAATTCAATCAAATTTTGCCCGAAGAGTCTGTTAAATCACTTTATTTCAACGAAACGTTACGGAGCATTAAGGAGTTAAGTTAGCCAATTTATCGCAATTCCTTAATTTAGAGCTTAGACTATAGTGTATATTCACTAATGATGATACTTTATTGGTTGTTATTTATTTTGTCAGACTATCACATTCATTTCTATAAAAGAAATTAAGATTTTTTTCCATTAAAATAATTTTGCACGAACAAAACCATAGTGTCTTTGAGTTATTGAAAAATCTACTGTCACTTGGACCGTAACATACTGATGTATATAATATCTTTTGGCTTAAATAGTTTGTTTGCAATTACATGGTCAGTAATTTGCATGCAATTATGCATATTCATTGTATGTACTTTTAACTTCGCTAGCTTTCAAAGTCAATTCCGATGGATATCTGATTTTCTGTCTCTTGTCAATCATCTCTTATAAGCTGATACCTTTATCATTAGGTGATTCTCATCAGGTGATTCGCTTATTAAAAATCTCTCATCAGTTATCCAGAGATTTCATCTCCAACCCCTTCCCATTTACCTTCCCTTGACACACAATAGAAAGAGATAACATTGGTTAGGGAAAGATGGGGGTAAATTTCTTATCGAGAGATGGTCTTAAGATCCGAAATCCGCCAATATAATAAGAAAAAATTAATTAGTAACACAGCTGTATACGAATAAAAAAAAAGTCAATAGATAAACTACGATACCATGGTTTATATGTAGGTAAACTATGAAAACGTGTTATAAATACAATAAGGTATAAATGTATATAATGTCAGTGTACGTTTATTACCGAGATCGGTGTTTCTAAAATGGCCGTACACTCCGAGTGACGAACAGAACGACGCTGGTTCGGTGGGACGAGCAGCGCCGGATTGTACAGGGCGTGCACGGTGACGTCCAGCAAGTTGTCTGGTGGTGGATGAGGCCAAGGCGATACTGTCCACGCAAAAACTTTGAGGTAGGTACCAGATTGAGTTTGTTGATTAGAGTTATGGGGATCACTATAATAGTTCGAGTTCACCATAATACAGTTCAGCGGATATCGTCCTTCCACTTTTTCGCCTAAACCGAACAATCGATCGTACTAAATTTTAGATAATATCAAGTAATTTATTTTATATTGCATAGTACAAGGAGAAGCTACTCGTAAATAGATTGGACAGCTTACACGTATAAGTCAAAAACGAACATCTTCTACAACACGATTTTTACACTATACTTAATTACACAGAGTCATTATTTTACCGTGTAATTTCCCTAGCTAGCTTCTAACCCTCTCATCATATCGACGCGTCGTACGAAAAGTAACACCGTTCGTGACTTCTTACGAAGACTAACACCGTTCGTGCTATTGGTGCTAACGGTGCTAGTTTTCGTAAGAAATTCGCCAACGGTGCTACTTTTTGTACGACGCGTCGATATAGTGTTATACAATAAAATTTATTGTGTTAGGCCATATAGAAGAAATGATAAAAATAAAAATTGAAAGACCTAAGCTAATAGCAGTTTTAAGATGAATGATTATTATGTTGAAGATTGACCACCTAATCCCGAAATATATGATATCCCGAGTTATATGATAAATATACACAAATTTGAATACGTTATTTTTTTCCAGTTATATTTGAGTGGAATGCCGAATGATAGATTTGTACAGATTACTAGAATGTTGTGATCATGCTAATTCTTTTGAATCAAATACCTCGCCCCCTATCGCTGTCTACTAGCTATATATGTTTTATACATGATTTTTTTTTATAATCAATAAATATATAATTACCATATGTCAATGGCAACAAGTCGACGACAGATATCCACACGAGGTGTTTAGATTTAGTCTTGTTTGCCGTTGCCTTAGTAGACGAATTCACATTGACCAACGGTTCCAGATAAACTGAAGAAAAAATCAACAATATTATTTATCCACTCGTCGTGTCATTAACAATAATTATTTGATAATTTATTCGCGGCCAATGTGATCACATAGAAATAATTTACTATAGGTAAAACGTGTAGTTAAAAATAAAAATAAATATGATACGGGTTCATACAAAACAGGTAATATAAAAAATGAAAGTTGTTAACAGTCAAAGCCTATATTTTGTACAGCTATTATTGTTAAAAAAATGGTTACCTTAAACGTTATGCAATGATAATACTGAAATAATTACATTAAAATAATAATGTAGTATAATAAGTGGTGGTATGTGTATATAGCCTAGGTAATTTTAATTATTATAATAGTACCTCGTAAAATTATGTTTCATATTATAATTTATACTGAACGGGTAATTGACAATATTCAAAGAGCAATTAATCACAAAATAATATCCTAAAGAGTAGTAATAAACACAAATAAACATGATCTCCACCAATCATAATAATTTAGCAAGCTGTAGTAAACAAAATAGTGTGCTCATTCCAATATAATCGCTTAAATATCAAACAAATTCATTAAAAACAAAACGATTTACGATCTGTATTAACAGTTTGCCACATGACATTTAATAAAAGACTTTTAAACCATCAAATTATTGCAAAATCGTTGGCCATAACAGATAAATAGCATCTATTTTAAAGCTCGCTGGCTTTTTTAAGATAACTAAATAATAAACATAAATATTTTTATATTTTGACTTGAAATATAGACGTTTATTATAAACGAACCGCCACAGAAAAATTAACACAATATTCTGTTTTAAGGATTGGGGAAGAAAAAAGGTAGCTGAAGTAGATTAAAGAATATAACCGCCGACATTTCCCGGCATCCAATTAAATTGGGAAACATATTAAACAAATGTTTTTGTGGGATATGAAACATGACGTGGATTTTAAAATACGTTATTTTACTAAAAAATAAATTGACAAGTATTTATAAGGTATTTAACATTGATAGTAAATTTATAATCACTTAGATAATTTAAAAATTCTGTACAAATTACTGACATCAATGTTTTCTTAATTGAATACTTAAAACAATTATTTTACAAATCCAATGGGCTTACAGAAGAATTATACTAACTAGATTTCCAGATAATAAGTTAGTCTTACGAGCCAATTTACACACATTTAACATGTAAAACTGCCTCTTAGGCAGTGAATCATCCAATAAAATAGTAAACTTCTTCGTTTATTATAGCCCCGACTTAATCGGTAGCGTGCCACTATGGACATTTTTATATGACAAATAATTTTTTTAAGATAATACTGTTTTCCATTTTTTTTTCTTCATTAAGTCATTATTTTTTATAAATAAATAACAGAAAAAAATCGGTGTGAGTAAAGTATAATTTGTTGGGCAATCTGAAAATAAAGACTGAATATTCTTTAGATCTACTGCGAAAAAAGCGGAATGATACCGGACGCGTGCAAATCACATGGACCAAATCGTTTTACTACAAACCATGGGCAATGTACGAATTATGATCGTGAATTGTAATCTTATCTCGTTCTTAGGGGAAATCTTTTATGTTGTGTGTGTGCGCGCACGATGACTTTATTTCTGCCAATAAAATAATGCACCCCGCCGTATCCGTCCCGGAACCGATATTGCTAGTAGTGTACAAGTTATTATTCGTTTCGAGCTTGTCGCACCCTCCTTTTCCATCTTAACCGCCTTGGATGTGTTTTCCGCAGATTCCATTAACGTCCGACGGACCCACTTTAATAATATATTGTTCGCTTATCGCGGCTCGAATTACGAATGCCTCTCCCGGGTTCTTTTTATACATCGGCCATCAGTGTGTGTGTGTGTATATACATGTATATATATGTATATATATACAGATGTCGACCGACACAGTCCATCTGTGTAAAAAAATATCTCCGGTTTTTATAGCATCACGGAGCGCGCACGCGGTCACGGCGAGATCGTAATTTTGCTTTATTCTCGTGTACGTGTGTATGTATCTGTATCCTGTACTCGTCGGTAGGACGTAATCATAATGTGTTATATTCGTATTATCACATTGTACATAGTATATATATATATACTTACTATTTAATATATATAGTATAGGTAATACACTGAATACAGCTCCGTTTACGTAGGCGTGGTTGTAAACTTAAACGCGCGATCATAAAGTGCGTTAAAATAATACATACCATATCTATCGGTAATTGTAAATACAGCATACTTAGCAGAGGGTTGGCGGCCATTTCGGCTGTTGTCGGCACCCCATCAGAAGGAAATGCAAAAAATGTTTCCAAGCCAATACGGCCAGAATCGTCCAGTTCCACTTCAGTACCGTAGCCCGACGACGAATGGCCAAATCTCGTTTTCGCGACGAGACGATCGGGAAACTTAAGCGCTGGATCCTATTGTGAAGCAATACAAAAAAGGTCATTTCGACGGACAAAAAGGAAAGAGCATAATTTCTGTTATATACAGTAACCTGAATAAAAACGATTTTTTTATGCCACCGTTTAATGACTATTGAAATTACTCAATTGGTTTTGTATATTTAAAAAAATTGTTTGAACCCCTATATTACCATTCAGTATACGTATTGTATTATTTCTGGTGTAATGCGCCTTCTTATAATATACTCAGCTAGCTCAGCTTATTAGATTACAACATTCAACACACGATAGCTATACATTTGAACATAGAACGTTTGGCATACTATAGCGAAACGCTTGAACAGGAATGTTAAAATTAAATTAAATTTAAAATCTGCTGAATCAAGTATTTTAAGTCTATTTATTTATACAGTCCTGATTTGACTTGATGATGAGTTATACCATTTTAGAATAATCTGGGTTTCGCAATAAGTATCTACTTGAAAACGTGGAATATAGTTAAAATATATTTTTTTTAAGTGGTTACGTTATGTTTAATCTCAAATTATTCAATAACTGATAGTAATAGTAAACTATGAGTAATTGATACTTATTTATTGAGGAGTAAAGTATAGGCAATTTGTTTAATAAAACTTGATATTCAGTTAAAATTTGCATAGTTCTGTATTAATATTGCTGTATGAAATCTATATTGATATTCAATAATCATGCCCAAAACTACAACCAGTTGCGTAATCATTATTTTAAAAAAACGTGTATAGGTAGATGCACTCTTTTTTGAGAACTGACTAGTTTTTAATGTAAAAATACAACTATTTAAAATTATTTTGTTAGAAATCGAGTTATAAAACATTGAATTTTAAAAATGATCGAAGTTTTGAAACTGGTAAATATTTTTCCACACAAAACTATTTAATTCTTACACATTCTAACATATTTTACACGCAAATGAAGAGGTGTGGCACCCTCTTAATTCTGACTTGACATGACGTAGAAATATCAAAGTAATTTGTAAACCATTGGTTGTGTTTGAAAAAACAACAGTAGAATGTTAACCTATAAAAAAAGCTTCTGAACAGGATCGGTGAATGTTCAATGTAATATTTTATTTTATTGTCAAGACTCTAAAACATTCAGCGGTGGAGTTAAATGTACCCTGATGACCCAATTTCAACAAATACCTGCATTCGTAGTTAAGTCTCAGTAGAATTTCAACTCACTTGATTTTCAATAGAATCCAAAAACAAAGTGACATTATACGACGTCACTGTTTCGACCGACGACCCCATAAGCGGATAGGCAGCCTAGGGGAAAAAATATCTTTAAAATATGATGTATCTACAAAGTAATACAATAAATACAATTTATAAACACATTTTACAAAAACATGTTTTCTAATTGTTTTGTTTTTTAAATACGGACGGATTCTATTATCGTGTAGACACCTGCACCATGACAACATAATAAAACATAATAATAATATATAGATTATAATAATTATTACGTTGACAATATGCGGTTGAAATATAGTAATTTAGTGTTTTGTATAGACTGCATCAGCACATCCAACTTAAAAGACAAAACCCCATAAGTAGTGCTGTAAGTTAAAACATTATAATATCCGTTGAAAGGTTATGACGTGTACGGACCTATAATCGACCATTTACGGGACGCCAGCCGAAAAAAAAACAATCATTTAGTTCCTAACTATAGTGTTGTTCAAATCCTAAACATCAGTCAGCATTGTTAAACTGGTTTAAACCACTTTACGCATAGGAAGTTCATAAATAACATTGGTAACCACTTAAAACGCTGGTTTTATTTTTGTCTCCTATTGTAGGATTGTTGTAGTATAATAAATAACAATACATATGATAATATTGTATCTATCGTACAAGTTAAGCTGCTTATATTCCATATAAAAGCGATGTACTGTAAGCACGCGCATACATGTGGTTTTTATAATACAATATATTTATAATTCATTCGAATTTTTTTTTTACACAAACCTCACATCTTAATAACAAGACTAATCGCCATACCTAATCGTATATGAAAATTCTATCAGTTTTTGGATTTATGCCAATAATATAATACTCATCAGAGTATCAGACGGTGTTTTTCATTTGTATACATTAGAATAATATATGAATAAATGTGTACCTATCCTCTCGCCCGAAAAAAAAGACCAACGCATTCCAACGGTAGCCAACGAGTTCATTTGTCATTCGATCATTCACTTATTTCCATGTGTCAAAATAAAAATAAAAAAAACAATCTACATAATTTTCTACTTAATATATACATACGTATACAGGGTGATTTTTTTTATCATGGGCCACTCTATATCTCATAGGGTTTAATAAGAAATTAAAATGTTTTTTTTTTCATATTGTTTTTATATTACGAGATCTCAATTTTTCACAATTTTTTTGGTTTTTACTCCCCTTCCAACTTAGTTTTTTTGATAGCAACTTTTGAAACTTAAATGGTAATGCATATATTTCATAACTTTTTAAATTAGAATAATATACTAAAAATGTTGACTGGTTGATAACTAGTTTCGGACA